TATATATATATATATAATTTATTTATTTATTATTTATGTATATATACGTATATATATACACACACGCATATATATAATATATATATATATATAATATATATATATATATATATATATATATATATATATATATATATATATATACAAAAAGAAAGAGCAAAGGAAAATAATCAAGCAAGAGAAAGGAAGAGGAAAAGGAGAGAGAAGTAATTTCCATGACTCGCGAAAGCAATTGCCATGGGAGGGCAAGTAACCCTGTATTTATATCCTTACGTTCACTGCGTAACTTCCTTAGACGAGAAATTGCAAGATATTTCCCTTTTTCCATTAGTCCCCCCTGAAATAAACGGTAAAGTGAACCCATTTTTTGTGTTCCTCGTCTTGGATTTTTTTAACCCATGAAACATTCCGAAAAAAAAGTTAGAAGAAAATGCATCTGGCCACCATCTTTGTTTTCGATATTTTAGTAAAACAAACAAATAATATACTGAAAATAAAAACAAAACAGCAGATTAAGATAAACACAAAGAGTTTAAAAAATGAAAGGGCGATTTTCTTGAACCATCAACAGCGCAGTCCGAGTCGACTTGTAAACAGCGCCCCATAAATCGCGTTGTTGTTTCTCACCACAGGGCGACGCAAGAAACCTGTATTTATTTAGTGTTCCCTTTTGCTTATTTTTGCTTATTCCTTTTTATTGCAGGAAGGAAGAAAGGAAACATTGATATGAAGTGATAATTTTGGTAATTCATTTGATAGTAATAATAATTATACGTATGCTGGAAGAGATGATGATAGAAATATTTATGATAATAATGGTAACAATATCATCAATAATGATATTATTATTATTGTTATTTTCATTAATGTTATTCTTACTATTATCGTTATCATTATTAACATTTTTGTTATCATTGTTATTATATATTATTACTATTATTATATAATCATCATTATCATTATTGTAGAATAGTAATTATCTGATATTAATGATGATAATCATGACATCAATGATAACAATACAATAATGATAATAATGTGATGTTAATGATAATGATAAAGCTATAAGAATAGCTAATATATAATAGCTAATAAGGATGATGATAAAAATTATAATGATAATGATATCATTAATAATAGTAGCAATGATTATGATGATAGTGATAATATGAATAACAATCATGATGATGATGATAATTATAGTAATGATAAGAGCACTACTAATAATGATAATAATAATAATAATAATATAATAATAATAATGATAATAATAATAATAAGGATAATAATGATGGTAAAATAATAATAATAGCAATAGTAAAATAGTAATGATAATAATGATAACAATATCAATGATAATGATGATGATGATAATAATAAGGATGATGACGATAATAATAATGATAAGAGTACTACTACTAATGATAATAATAATAATAATAATAATAATAATAATAATAATAATAATAATAATAATAATAATAATTAATAATAATAATATAAATGAAATAATGATGATAAACCAATAGTAAAAACAGTAATGATAATAATAATAACAATAACAATGAAAATGATAATAGCAATAACAATAACAATTCTCCTCCAGGAAAGGCTTCTCCACTCAAATCACAGGAAATTGCAATCCTTTTCTCTGCAGGACAAATCATTTTCAGTTTAGCAACATTGCACTTTTTCTAGGCAGCGGGTAAATGCCTTTGAAATGTTGCACCCGCCTTTTCCTCTCTCTTTGCAATCTATTACGGAATTGCTGTTATAATTACCATCTTTTTTTGCTTTGATCTATCTTTTTACGTGTATTTTTTCTCTCTGTTCTCTCTGTCACATGTCGTTGTCATCTCAAAAAAAAAGAAGAAAATCGTGGTCATTATCAGGTTATTATTATCATTATCATTGTCATTATAATTATCATTTTATCATTGTTATCATTATCATTATTATCATTATATATTATTATGGTTATCATCATTATAAATGTTATTATTAACTTTAAAGCCTAATCATGATTATCATCATTGAAATTGTTATCATCATTATCATTAACATTACTATCATAATATTCCATTACTGTTATTATCATTATTCTATTATTACTGTTATCATTATTCTCATTATCATCATTAAATTGTTATCATCATTATTATCATTATTATTTTTATTATTATTATCATCAACACCATTATAATTATTATTATTGTTATTAGTATTATTACTAATATTATTATCATTATCATCATTACTATTATGATCATCATGATTTTTATTATTTGATCATCATTATCCTTTTCATCGTCACAATCATTATTATCATTATTATCATTATTGTTATCATTATTATCACTATTAGTATATCATTAGTCATTATCATTATTGTCATTATCACTATCATCACTATTATTATCAACACTGTCAATATCATTGTTATTACAATATATCATATTATTATCATTATCACTAGTTTTTATTATTACTATCATGATTCTTATAATGTTATTATCGGGATTACTTCCTTTTCATTATTATCTATCAATATATCTTCATATACTATTAATCTCAATGTCGCACCATGACATAGTTTAATATCTTCCGTTAGCGACTCTTATATGAGAGTTATTAGTAATTATTTATGCCTATTATTTGCATCATCATCTCCATCGCCAATTTATAGATTTTATTCTAGTCATTCAATTTGTAT